CACAGCAAGCAGGCCTGATATAGTGTTTAGTGTGGGATTATGTGCAAGATTTAAAGCAAATCCCAAGGAATCTCACCTGATGGCTATCAGAAGGATACTAAGATATCTCAAGGGGACCCCTAACCTCTGTCTATGGTATCCTAGAGAGTATAACTTTGATCTAGTTAGTTATACTGATGTTAACTATGCAGGTTTTCATGTTGATAGGAAAAGCACTTTAGGAACAGCTCATTTTCTCGGTTCTTGTCTGGTGTCTTGGGGAACCAAGAAGCAAAACTCAGTGGCCTTATCTACAGTCGATGCTGAATATGTGGCAACAACATCCTGATGTGCTCGGTTGCTATGGATAAGACAAAAGCTAAGAGACTATGGTATATTTATTGATTGTGTTTCCACTTTTTGTGATAACACCAGTGCCATAAACATTTCTAAAAATCCATGCCAGCACAAGAGAACCAAGCACATTGACATTAGACATCACTTCTCAAAGACAATATTGATAAAAGGAATATCTCAATTAACTTTTGTAAAACTGAAGATCAAATTGCTGATATATTTACTAAAGCTCTGAGTAGGGATCACTTTGAAAGGAATAGACTAGAACTAGGTCTAATCAACTCTTCCCTCTAAGTTGAATCCCAGTGATTAGCTAGAAAAAGCATAATTAGATGTAGATAATTAAGTACAATGTGTTTGATTCAACTTTGTGCTGGTATTAAGCTCACACACTTGCTTGAAAAATCTAGCTGATAAATATGTTGTGTGATACTAATATGAAGTGTTGAAGCTTTATTGCAGAAACAAATAAGGAGTTGGTCCTTTGACTCAGGTATGTGCCACACTGTCTTAAGTCACTAGGACTTTATATCCTAAAATTATTGCTATACTCAGACTTCTAATTCCATTGGCATCACTTCCAGTCGTCTTCTAGTCAAAGAGTAAGGGGAATCCTAGTGCAATTAGAGTTCAATTACTCCTGAAATCCTAACAGTCAAAGTAACTGTTATAAGAGTCCCATTAGAGCTCAAATTCAGTCACCTTCTCTCTTTCAGTCAAATTAGGAGTAACGTCTTTAAAAGGATCTTATGATCATCTTCTCAGACCTCACTGTTTCTCTCAAACCCTAAGCAAGAATCAAGAGCAATTATAAAGAACTAATTCTCCCTTTCTCTTCTTCGAGTCTCTCATCTGATCACCATGCCTAAAGCTAGTCAAACACCCTCTAAAACTAAATCATCGACCAAGGCTGAAGCAAAACCCAAAATCATGAAGCCCAAATCGAAGAAAAATGTCAAGCCTTTAAGGGAAACAACACCCACACCTGTTCCGTCTCCTTCGATATCCTCCACTATATCTACATCATCATCCCATATTTTTGTTCTTCCTATCATCCCCACCTCTACTGTATACCCTCATCCAAAAGCAACTACCCATGCACCTGAGCTTACTGCGAAAAATACCTCTAAGTCAACAAAGGTCAAGGCCACTCCAAGAAAACATGTGCAAAAAGAGGCTTCCGATGGCCTTTCTTTTAGTTGGACTGAGGATAAGGAAGATGATGAGGGTGAAAAAGAAGAAGAAGTTGTGAACAGTCATGAGAAGCATGATGCTCAAAACATAGCCAATTAAGAAGAAAAAAGTGAGAATGAGGGAGCATTTGGAGATGAGAAGGAGAGTGATACAGATGATAAGACATATGAACAGGTTAATGATTCTGCAGAAAAAGAAAATCATAGTGAAGAAGAGGATGACTCTAAAAGTGAGGGTGAGGATCAAGAAAAGGTAAGTGAGAGTGAAGAAGGTGATAAAGAGAGTGAGGAAGAAAATGGGAATATGAGTGAGGAATCTGAAGGTTCAATGACCATTGAAAACGCTATCATAACCCCTTCAGAAGAAACTAGTAAAGATACAAGGGCTCAAGAACCTGGGTCTCTGTTAACTCTTTTCACTAGAGATGAAGAAGTAAGCAGTGATGAAGATGATGCGCCACTATCTGAGGTAGGGAAGAAAATCAGGAAAACCCTTGTGAAAGCTACAAAGTCAGCAATCTCAACAAGTAAATGAGTGGCTCTTCCTACCAGAACTCCTCTTACAAGGAGTAAAAGAAAGGTTGTAGATGCACAAATCATTAAGGAGTCTAGAAGTGCAAAGAAGCCAAAGAAGAAGGTCTCAATTGTGGAACCTATTATTGAGGTGGATGGAGAAGATGAGTCTGACTCTGCCTTGCCAACTAAGTTTTCTGCACCAAAGAGAAAGGGTGTCAAAGTTACAAAACCCGCTACCCCTTCTGCAAAGGCTAGTAGGGGTAAGATAAGAAAGAATGTGCCAGTTGCAGTTGATCGACTCACAGAGTTCAGGAACAGAAAAGTGCTAAATGGAAAGATTTTTGCGAACACTGATGAGAAAAGGACGGCTCAACTGGTTGAAAAACTTGAGCTACAGGGGTGGAAGCACATGTTTGTCAAAGATTTTCCCCCAGTATGTGTTCCTGCTGTGGTGGAGTTCTATGCAAATTTCAACTTTGATGGGAAGGTAGTCAAGAGTAAGGTAGGGGGCTTTGAAATAGAGTTTGATACTGAGGAGTTGGGGATGCTTCTGAATATCTCTTCCTTGGGATTTGATAATTACTTGAATAAAATATGGCCAGCCATAGATAATTATGTTAACACTGGCATTATGGTCACAAGGAAGCTCTCCCAAAAGTTTGAACTAGATACTCCCCAGAAAGTGTATAAGACTGATATGACTCCCTTTCACAAATTATTGTTTCATTTTGTCAATTCCTGCATTCTGCAGAGGTTTGAGAGAAGGCATGAAGCTACTCTTTTGGACATGGCTGTGATGGATATTCTTGACACTGGTAGACCTATCAATCTTCCTAGCCTGATGATTCAGCACATGACAAGATCTGCAGACACCTCCAAACCTAAGCATGTTATGCCTTATGGTTTCATGTTAACTGAGTTGCTTGACAAGCTTAACATTTTCTTACTTGAGCTTAAGTTTGGACACCACAATGACATTTTGGATGGTGTTACCGAGATCAAGGCTAGAGGACCCACATGATCTGTTATTCTACCTGGGAGCAGTAGGGCTACAGAGCTCAGCAAGAGGTTAGAGTTCGCTGATGAAAATAATGCCAAGCTTCGTGAAGACAATAATGAGCTGAGAAAGGAAACAAAGCAACTCAAGGAAGATCTCAGAATAGATAGGGAGGCTAATGCCCAACATATTTCCACCCATATGAAAGCTTTGACCTCCCTCTGCTTCTCACCCATGAACATGTTCCTTCCCAGTGTTCTTAGTTCTTTTGCTATTCTAGTGATGCCTTATCTTTTTTTTTTCTTTTGTCTTAGTCTGAGTAGTTTGCAGTATGCTTAGTTTATTTTGTTTTAATGATGAAGACAAGGCCATGGGCTTCTTTTGGTACTACTTAATGTCTCCTCTTGCTCTGCTTTACTGTTTTATACTATATTGGATCATCAGTCTAGTTTATTTGCCTTGATATTTCTTAAGATTGTGATGTATCATGTTTGGCTTTGAATCTTACATTATCTGTACTTCATGTCTAACAATTTTTTGTGTTTTCGATGATGCCAAAAGGGGGAAGATAAGGTTGGAGGGTTGTGGGTTTTGAACGTACATGTCTGTCAATAGTACTTGTCACTTGTTGTGATTATCTGGTTCTTTGATGTGATTATCTGGTTCTGTTGTGTACAAGGTTTGTCATCATCAACGAGAGAGAATTTATTGAGTATTGAAGTTTTGATGATTAAAAAAGTATGACTAAGGGTTTAAAGAACCAGGTCCTTAACGTAGCTGCTTAATTGTTATGAAGAACCAACTTCTCAAGAGAAAGTATCAGTTTCTCATGTTGATACTTGTACGACTGTACAAGACAATAATTTTATTTCAAAGTTACCCAGGTCCGAGTTTGATGGAAGAAGGCTGCTATAAGTGATAAGGGTCGTTGCTCAAGAAGATATGGATAATTTAGTCAGAGACAAAAGTTCCAAACCTTGTGGAATCCTTGAAACAGTAGGAGTCCTATCAAATAGGAAGCTGATTATGAATAGGACTCCTAGAAGATCTTAAGTTGAAGTGTTTAAGTATGATCGACTTTGGACTTCTGAACTATCCTTTTACACATCAACAAAAGAGTCATAAGTTGGTTACTCGAGTCGAGTACTTGCATTGTATTCTGCCTGAGTCAGTCTAGTGAATGTATTTTAGGAAATTGAGTTGTAATCAAGTGTCAAAAATAATTAGTGAGTTGGAGTGAGTGTTTTGCTTTACAAGTTAGAGTAACTTGTGAATCAAATAGGAGTAGTTGGAGTACTAGAGAGTATTTAATTACAGTCATGTAATTGATATATTTTGGCACAGTGTTATAGTAGAGTTGGAGTTAAAAATCCTACATGGTAGGTCGTGGTTTTTGCACCTTTTGAGCCGGGTGATTTTCCACGTAAAAATCATTGTGTTCATTTTATTGTTTATTTACTTTACGCTTAAGGAATACGATAAAGAACCACGTTCTTTTATAATTCATACGGGCACTCAAATTAACAGTTTTTGATACTTATGGGAAATTTGATTCAAAAACTAAATATTATGTTAATTATAGATAATATTATATTTGTTATGTAATATTTTATATAAAAATCCCAATGTTATATAAGTAATACAAAATTTTAGAGGAAGATTAAAACTTCATATACTTCGAACGAAATGTCCCCCGAAATTCTCGATTTCATAGATACAGACATCAAGCGATCCTTTAGGTGGCAAGTACCGAAGCTTGTTATCCCCGGATGTTAACAATATTACAAAAGTCACGAGATCAACGATACTTACAAATTACAATCACCAAAAGCAAAATCCAAAAAATCGAAAATAAAGAAAAAAGTAAGAGAATTAGAGAACAATCAACACTCTTATATCACTTCCTCCCACACCCAAAAAAAGAATATAAAAGAGAAAAACAAAGCAGAAGCCATGAATTAATCCAACACCATATTTCCTTTAGCATCATATGAAATCTTGCCTGAAAAATCCAATGGTCTGCATTTTTCTCCTTTAATAATTGTTCTTTTCCACAGTGCATTCTCATCTTCCCAATTTTCCTTTGGTTGATTATCATCTTCATCTTGCTCTTTTCTCCAAGATATTATTTTGGCCATCAAAAGAGCTTTAGTACTACTTATGTTGCTCTCTAACCTTCCAACTGGCTTTTTACCACCCAACTGCACACTCTTTTTCTTCTCCTTTTCCCTCTTGTGAGCACCAACTCCACATAAAAATGCCACCATAGAGATTATTGCAAAGACTAACAGAACAGTTACAAAATATGTTATAGAAGGAGGAAGTAAAGAAAGTTTGTTATAAAGATGAAGAGTAGGAATGTTCCTAGCCATATCTTTGATTTCTATAGAGTCGATAGAAGAAGAGAGATGAAGTTAGTACTGAATGGGATTATATTGCGTCTCCGCATTCATAGTGGCGCATTCAAACCGCAAATGCAATAGACATTGCATAAAAATATTAGCCAGGGCCATGCAGCTAATGGTAGTTAAGTGGTTACTGTTCTGCACAAAAGTGCATAGGACCCTCTGACCCCGTAGACTGTTGCTAGACGTAACATGCACTTGGAAGGGAAGGAAGATCAAACTGTAATGTACGTTTTAATTTAAGTTATGTGTTTTTACTTTTCTTTTTAGTCGGTTTAAAAAAAAATGTCTATTTCTCTATTTAGTACTTCCTTCGTTCCAATTTACAAAGTATTTCTTTTTTTATTCGTTCCAAAACAAAAGATCCATTTTCTAAATTTGAAAATAATCTAATTTAAACTTTGAATTCTATCCTCAGTGAAAAGCTTTTATAGCCACACAAATATTCTGACATATTTAACACCACGAGTTTCAAAAGAATTATAGCCACACAAATATCATATCTTGTTTAGAACCATAAGTTTTAAAAGTCTTCGTTTCTTTTTTAAGGTCTTCGAAAAAGAAAGAATTTAACTCAAACTTTCTATTCTATCTCGGACCCAGTTGCTACAGAAAGTACTAAGAAATACGAAGATTCAAGAGGGTCAAATAGGTTCACATAAATTGGAATAGAGGGAGTAACTCTTTAACTTCAAAATTTCATATGGCATATTTAAGACCACAAGATTCAAGGGCATTTTAGTACATTATATACATCTTTAGTTTGAGACCATAAAATTTAAAGTCTTCCTTACTTTTCTTAACATTTGTGTCCAGTCATAAATTGAAAGGGAATGAGTAGTATAATACCCCACATATGCTTTTGGATACCAGTATATTTCTCGTACAATCGGATAAATAAGACGATAAGTTAGTTATGTGCATACTAAATAAAATCTTACATCGAGTGAAGTATTGTTGTCGATTTATATGGTTTTGGATAGTTCTCGCTTTTGAGATTGAGTTACATTAAATTTCATTTTCGTAACAATCTACCAACTGATCTGATGAATCGTAACTATATCAATACCACAGAATAATTTTATCAAATGGGCCTTATATTCATCTTCGAGAAAATAATACCAATGCTGTAAGTATCATGTTCTGTGCTAACAGCTGCTAAGGTGAGAATCTCCTCACAAAACTAGTAGTGTGTATGCTCTTCCAACTCAAATGAGCTGATCCGTTGCTTAAGTTAGTTGGGCCATAGTCTTTATTTTGTTAGAAAAACATAGAAAAACTTGTTATAGATAACAGCTTATTTAGCATAACGTACCCTTTAGATTATGGAGGAATTTTCAGAAACCATTATTGTTTAGTGGTTATTAACTTTCTATAACTATCATATACATAATTACTTCTTATAACTATTATTCAGTTGTTACGGTAGTGTATTCGTTGTATTCGCACTGTTGTATTCATGAATACAACAACAAAAAGCGCCTAAATATCAGTGTAGTCCAATTGTACGCGCATGTATTCACATGTATTCGCGCCATGTATTCATGAATACAGCAGCAAAAAGCGCCTAAAATCAGGACAGTCCAGCTGTACGCGCATGTATTCACATGTATTCGTGCTGTTGTATTCATCAATACATCAGTAAAAAGCGTCTAAAATCAGGGTAGTCCAGCTGTATGTGCATGTACTCACATGTATTCGTGCCATGTATTCATGAATACAGTAACGACAATCACCTTAAAAATAGGTATGTCCAGTTGTCTAAGAAAGGAAAAATATAAATAGCGTATTTCATGCCTTATTTCATGCCTCAATGGTATTATATACCATAAATACTTATTTTGCTATAAAATATGAAAGGTAGCTATAGAAAAAAATATTTTAAAATAATTTTGATTTATAATAAATTGGGTGTCGTAAAATTTCCTACATTATACAATGTCATCTAAAGATGCTTTAAACAGCAAGCGATTCATTCAGAATTTCGTTTATGCAATGATTGCTTTTTAATTATTCTGACCAACCATATGGGTGACAAGAAGCAAAATTCCTTGTAATCTGCCATCACTACGGCCATTTCTCATCAACCCTTCTCCTTTATTTATATGTATCCATGTATCCTCTATAATCCATACTGCATCTCTAACAAAGCTATGACCAGAAAATTCAGCCCTTTTCTTATATTAATGATACTAACGTTAACTTTTACTTCAGTTGCATTGCTAAAATGCGAGACATTAGTAAACTGTCTAGTCAAGGCTTCTTATATGGTTCTCCACCACCTTATGAATCCTCCTATAGTTGCTATTTTCCACCCATTACCATATGAATGTCCCTATATGGAGAATTCTGTTTGATTAAATCGATTAGCAGTCCTTTGTTTCCTGATTTCAGGTATTTCATGAATATGTTTAATCAAACAATTCGAACATGCATAACAAATAAAACACATAAACTTCAGTTGGGGATTGAACACCCTTGCCCGGAACTGAGATGGTTAAACAGTTCGCAGTGTCAGAAATTATAAATAGAAAAAGAAATCATGAGATGATAAGCAACTTGGTGTAATATTGTCACCTAAATTACACAATATTATTCAGCAGAAAATTTGAACATTCACCCTAGTGAGCAAACTGGGGAATCACCAGTTAACAGAGACTAAAATTCTTCTCATGTTCATATTTTACATAAATCAGGTACACAATAGGCTGTCTAGAGCATATAATAAACTTACTGCCTTGTGCCTTTTATCTTACTCTACAATTTCTGTAATTTTCTTTTTTGGAAAAAATGATCAGATAATCTATTATTTTAAAATATATAGGCATCAAATCCATATACCTTTAGTTCATTAAGATTCACGTACAATGACACATGACAACTTTAAATACCAACAGTACAAAAATTTCCGAGTAGTGTAAATGCTTTAAACAATCAGCCGAGATAGTTCACAGAACACCAGAATCCAATGCTTTGATTACTTTGCGTCGCCACATTGCAGTTTCAGGATCAAACCTAAGTTCCCATGTTGGCCAGTAGTGTAAATCCTGCTTCAATGTGAGCACTCGGGGCTTCCCATTCAGGTGAACTGTTCGTACACGAACAAACTCTCCATGCTCTATTGCCCGTAAGGAACTCAATTAAGTAGATGTTAAAACCGTGACCACAGAAAAAATCATTACAGAAATTTGTTGACTGAAAATCATTAACAAAGCTTGCTAGAACCACGTTCGAAAAGAAATGTATCTCTAGTTCATTTCTAAAGCCGCGATTAGTACATCTTCATGCAAAATAAGTTCTTGCGAAGTTTCTCAATAAATAAAAGCCATACCTTAGTCACATCGACAAAAGCATCTAGGTTAGGTGTTGGTTTGCCGTTGACTTCAACTATCCATTGAAGAGCAAAGAGACCATGACGATGTGCAGGACTCCCCTGACACCACCTGAGAAATAGGCATTAATTAGCCTTTGTGACAAAATAGTTGACAAAGAAAATTCACAAGGGCACAATTAGGTCAGCTAAAGCAAAAACTACTAACTACTTGCTGACTAGAGATTGCAGCTGAAGTATAGCAGATTAAAAGAAAACATGTGATAAATAGTACGTGGCAATGAAAACTTAAGAATTGGGAAGCAAATAGATCAGAAGCCCTCCTGTCATCTTTAATTTTTTACAACATTCTAGTGTCTCCTCACCTTGCCACATATACTCCATGGCCTTCTTCGGGCAGAAACCCAAGTGCACGTACAGCTGGATAAGGGTCTTGGAGAATACCGCCACACCAATTTATTGCCTGTTTGGCTCCATTTCCATCCCTTACATCCGTTCCCACAAGTAGTTCAATTTCATTTCCCTGAGAAACCATGAGACAACTTAATAAGAATCTAAGCGAATGTCTGAACTCTTGTACTTGATGATGATAATAAAGTCCTATTGATCAAATAAGTGGAGAGAAGTTGAAAAAAGTAAAGCTAATGCTAAATAGCTTCCCGCTAACCTGACGGAAGATTGTCAAATCTAGTCTTCCATCATCGTGACTGGAATGGTCTAACGATTGGCATGCATCTTCAATGTCACGAAAGCATGTAACTGGCTGCTTATTAATTGCTAAGACCATGTCCCCTTGTTCCAACAAGTTTTCAGCTTTTGAGCCAGCAAAGCAACCTTTAACTTGCAAAACCTGGTGTCTCTTAGGATCCTTCTTCACAAGGGCCTAAATGAGATATGTCAACTATTAAGAAAATGCCCAACTCACATACTATGCTCACCCCTTATAACCATCTTGGCAAGAATATCTGGAATTCCTTAAGATCACATGAAAAGCCTAAGATTATTCAAATGATATCCTTTAGAAACAGTTGAGTGGGACTAAAGCTATTAACATGCATAAACATCAATAGAGAGCCTCTAAATGTCAGGTAACATAAAATTAAGAGGCAAATGATTTGAGCAATAAGACGTCCATTTACAGCTTGGGTTGTATTCTTCTTGGGAGTTGCAATTTACCATACACGTGAACATGATACAGTTTACAGGTAGATGGATATATATGTCCATGCACGAATTCCATGACACATGCCCAATAAGAAATTGTATAATTGATGATCTCATTTACCAGCTTCAAGCTTTAGTTGAATTCTACTTGGGAGTAGGAATTAATCTTTGTGTGTGTGTGTGTGTGTTGTGGNCAGCTAATTCCGAACAAATTTTGCTCATACACTTGTGCTATGATACAAAAGCCACATAGATAGATACACTCATGATGAAATTGAAGACCAAGTACGCCGAGTAACCTTAGAATTTTCGATCCATTTACAGCTTGGGTTGTATTCTTCTTGGGAGTTGCGACTAACCTTTAACGGAGTGAGGACACATCTAGCACATATGGACCCAGATGTTAAAAGAGCTTTAAAGGAAGTAGACCAAGTTTCTGTGTCTTAGGCGAAGTAAATTTTTTTATAACAAA